GAAACATCAGAAATAGTTTGCATGCAGTAGTAGAGATCCAGGAAAAGAAAAGCTAATGACAAGAAGAAGAAATAATTCGCTGTTATGGTTCAATAACACATGCTTGGCTTGGCAGATGGCTTTTTTTTTTTTTTTTAGTAATGGAGATGTCAGCTAATCATGTTTGGTGTTTGAATACATAAACAGTAATTCTGGGTTAACCTGAGTTGCCTCAAATTCCCTGAGTAAATCTTTGCTCTTGTCCTCTATGGATTGGTACAGTTTTAGTTGTCTTTATTAATCTTAGTCCATGCTTTTCTGAAAGATGATGTTTTTATTTGAGCAGAGCTTTTAGGCAGATGGGATTCACCGAAGGCTTTTCAAGGGAGGGAGGACCCGTGTTTTCTGTAATTGCTCAGTGGATGGAGCACACGGTTGCAGGGGTCCCTTCCAGGTCTGTAAGGCAGACACCTGGCTGCTCTGCATTCTGGCCGGTTCCTGCTAGTGGCTTTCTTTAACTTCATTAAAGTCCATTATAGCTTGAAGACATTTTTGCTTTTCAATGGCTTTGTTCCGAGACCCTTTCTGACTCTGTAGCAGTTGTGAAAAGTGACTTTTAGCTTTCCATTAGAAGCTTTCCATTAGAAAAATTAGATAATATTTGCCTTTGGCACTCTGTAACTCGGACTTTTTCCCACGGATGCAAAAATTGCATTAAAGAGATGAAAAACCCACCCTAATATTGTAGAACTCATCTCTTGAAGTCTGGCAAATGAATGTGGAACAATTAACCTTTGCTTTAGTAAGAATGGAGCTTCCCGAAGTATGATAGTCGCTGGAGTGCTGCTGTTAATGTGAGGCTGGCTTGTTGCCTTTCTCCAGGGAAAGAATGGATGGAAATAGAGCAATGGAGCAATTGAGCATTTTCTGCTTGGGAGGAATCTCTGCTGTTTTTTTTGCCTAAGAAAATGTATTTTACATGCTTTGGGGGGGAGGCTTTCTCAGCACCTGAGCTCGTTCCACCCTAGATGTGGTTGCTTTCTTAAGAATCATAGAATAGCTTGGATTGAAAGCAACCTTTAAAGGTCATCCAGTCCAACCTCCCCTGCAATGAGCAGGAACGTCTTCAACTAGATGAGGTTGCTCTGGAAGAAGGGTAGGAAGGTGGCGGCTGTTCTCTTTACATCAGTCTAAATAAAAAATAATTTAAAAAAAAAAAAAATTCCTCTTAATAGAGGTTTTCTGCCCTTCAGCCATCCTTCTGTCTCCTGACTGGAATTGCACTCTTCAGCGCTGAAGTATGGCACTAACAGGACTATTTAAGGGCCAGGTTATGTCCCAGGGGCTGGTTGACTCTATTGCTGTGGGATGTTGCCCCAGAAACCTTTCGGACGGATTCTGGGTTTGTGGGTTTTTTGCTAGAATTTGCAGGTGGCCAGGAGCAGACTAGATGCTGGAGCAGCAGAAGCAGCGCTAGCAGGGAGATCCCGACGCAGCTGACGGACGGTCAGCACTGCTGCGGCGGGCTGGGCTGGTGGAATAAGCTCTGGGCTCCCCCCGAGCGTGTGATTTTAATCATTTTCTCCTTTGTACGCTGCAAAGTGTTTTTTGCCTGCGGTGTGTTGCAACCTCTGGCTCCTGGCAAATGACAGAAAATTATCATGAATAAGCTAATCATGTCCTTTTCTTTAGCATCCCCCCCGCATGCCCCCACCCCAACCTTGCTCTGCCAGCCTGAAGCTGCAGAAAGCCTTTAACCACCTGAGTGGAAAATCACTTTCATTAGAAGCCTCCCCGGCGAGGAGAATTGCAGTCTAAGCCCTTCTCCTTGGGCAGGGACGACCGCTTGCTCTGCTGCTGCCGGCTCTCTTTGAGCTATTTCAGTGCCTGAGACGGAAGCCTCGCCGCTGCGAAGGCACGTGAGGTGTCACGAAGGAAGGATTCCTGCTCTTTCTTTTCCTCGTTAACTGTCAGAGCTCTCCCGGCTCGCTGGGGTCTCAGGGGCGGCAGTGTTCCTGTACGGGCTTTGCAGACAAACAATCACAACACCTATTTCCTTGTTGCAAACCAGGCAGTAAAGAAGGAAGGATCCCCTTCAGTAGTTATACCAAGGTAGGATTTTCAGGGAAAGTTATTTTTATTATTTCATTGCCTGCTGAAAGCCTGCAGTGGTCTGTAAGGAGACCAACGCTTGCTGTTTCTCTACTGGAGAACGCAGCAGTACGGCAGAGCCCAAGACTTTGCCTGGGAGCGTAACAAAGATGGATCTCCATCCCTGTGGAGGTTTGTGACAGGCAGTGGGAAGTGCAGTCTTCCACTTGTTTGCAGGATTTAAGAGACAGGAAAACATCCAGGTCTCCTAGCCAGGCTCTTTCCTTGCCATAAAGATTGTTGCCCTTGTGTGGTGTGAAACACAGCCTGCCTGCTGTTCTCACAGGAGCAAGCTTCCCTGTCACTGCAGTGAAACTAAGGGAATAAATAGCCCGAAGCAACCGCCCTGCTGCCACATTAACTCTTTGAGGCTTTTGGCGCACGCACCCACCCTCCTAACCATTCGTTTGGGCTGATGTGTTGGGCAGTCC